TAAGTATCACTATCCCATAATACTGTGAAATTTGTGAAATTTATGTAACCACTTAATCTCAATAAAAAATATTAAAGAAACCCTGCTTTTTGTTTTGTTTTGTTTTTGTTTGTGCTGGTACTAGGGCTTGAACTCAGGGTCTGAGTATTGTGTTTTGTTTTATGTTAGTACTAGGGCTTCAATTTGGGGCCTGAATGCTATCCCTTAGCTTTTTCATTCAAGGCTGGCACTTTACCACTTGATCCACATCCCCTTTTTCCAGCTTTTTTGTTGATTAAGTGGAGTCTCTCATATTTTCCTTCCCCAGGCTAGCTTCACAATCTTCAGGTCTTATCCTCCTGGGTTGCTAAGATTATAGATATGAGCCACCAGTGCCTAGTTACCATCCCTCTTAAAAAGCAGTATTGAAACCTGAGAGATTACTCAAGTTTTCTTCAAAGTACCAGCTGATGCACTTTGATGAGTGGAGCTTGATAATAGACTTCAGACTCTATTGTATTACACACTTGAATGTATTACACACTTGTATAGGAATAGTAGAAACGGTTTCATAAATGGATACATATTCTGAGCTAATAACTATGTTTCCCTTGACAAAATGTTACCTGAAAGCAGACAGGGCCAAATGGCCACTTAGCTGGGTCAATCAAAGTTACTGTCCATCCAAGTTGACCACTAGAATATAATAACACAAGAGAGATGGGTGACAATGTTGTCAGACACTTTGTACCCATATACTCTTTTGTAGAATGAGAACTACTTTGTACAACTACTTAAAGATGATAAAAAAATTAAAAAAAGAAAATAACACAGCCATTTCAATAGTACCAATGAAGCACTTGTATAGACACAAAAATATCAAGAAAAATTAAGAGATTTCTATAGATTTGTCAGGACAGGAAGAACAGCATCGGAACAAAAATCAATCGGGCTCACTTTAAATGGCCAAGTCCTGAGGCTCGGTGAAGGCCTAGGAGGGTTTTTTGGGGGGGAGGTGGTTGGAAAGGAAAGATAATGAGAGAGAGGGAGAGACAGAGACAGAAACAGAAACAGATACAGAGAGTGAGACAGAGGCAGAAACAAACCTTTTGTAGTTATAGTGATGTAATCATGCATCATCTTTATTTAATTCAGCCCATAAGAGAGGCCATATCTAGGTGCTGGTGTCTCACCCCTGTAATCCTAGCTACTCAGAAGGCTGAGATCTGATAATTATAATTTGAATCCAGTCTGGGCAGAAAAGTATATGAAACTACTATTTCCAGTTAAAAAACAAACACAAGATATCTCCCCCCAAAAATAAAAACAAAAAAACAGAAATGGAGGTGTGTTCCAAGTGGTAGAGCATGAGCATCCAAGTCAGAACTTGGATAGACCATGAGTTCAAGGCTCAGTACCAGCATACATATACAAAAAAGAGTCTGTAATACTTCTACCTGAGGTTCTTTAGACAGTGAACCCTCCACCACTCTCCATGTGACCAATACTATTTAATGGAGTTTGGTTTGAAGCAGAAAGTGGGTTGGGAAAAGTCCACTCTGCTGCAGCAATGACCTGTTGTTCTGGCTGGTGGTCATCAAGTTTGATTTATGGAGGGCGCATAAGCTATTGAAAGGTTCAATATGAGGTCATTGAAGTTTCCCTGTGGTGTTAAGCTGTAGTTTTTCAACATCCCTTTGCCATTACAATTTGATCCATCACGAAGAGAGTTACATCCATACATCTAGCCAATTAAGTTATGAATATTCATGTAATTAATCTCTTTTCTAATGATTATGCATAATTTCATTTTAATTTTTAATTATTATTTGTGCCCCTCACTCTTGCTTAGATTTTTCATTCAAGGCTAGTGCTCTGTCACATGAGCCATACCTCACTTGTGTTTTGCTAGTTAATTGGAAATAGAGTCTCATCGATTTTTCTGCCTGGGCTGGCTTCAAGCTGAGATCCTCAAATCTCAGCCTCCTAAGTAGCTAGGATTATAACATGAGCCACAAGCACCTGGCTTTTGTCATAGTTCTTTAGCTTGATACTTAATTTCTACCATAACGAAAACTTTTTTTTCCTTTTGCTCAATCTATATTTGAAACTTCCAGATTATGTATTTTTGTTTTCTTCTTGCAAGCATTTAAACAATATAAATTAGACATAAAGAACTTCAGAGTTCTCTCCCTCTCTGTACAAACATGAAAACTTTTCTCTTAATTTCAAAGATAATAGGTTATAAATTAAGTGGATTTATAGACTCAACCTAGAATAATCAAGAGCAAGAATAAACAAGTTTGTGGACTTGCGTGCAATAATTAAGTCCAAGTTAAAGGTTAATAGTAATGGATTACCATGTTAAATTATTTTTTATGGCTTTTGCTTTTATAGGTTAGTGCGATCATGGAAGATTATCCTAACTCTCGCATTTACATTGACTTTTCTTCTCGTTGGTAAGTTTTCCCACTAATCATAAGAAAGCTTTCAACACAATGCCTCCAGTTGAGGCAAGGGGGTCTACAGAAAGCAGAAACATGGAGTTGCATATTCTTGAAGTATTTTCATCACTTATCTGTCATAAAATTAATATGAGCTTTCTACAGAAAAATTTAAAAGTGCTCCTTTCTCTGAATTATACATTGAAATCACAAAAGTTGTAGTCAACTTAAGCAGAATCCCTAATAGATCACATTTTACTTTGTATAAATTTGAGTGGCTCAGATAGGGAGATTTTGACAACCAAAACCTTTTCTTAATAGTTGAACCCAGGACCTCATATTTTTTGGCTAATGCTTTCCTACTTGAGCCATTCTCCTTTGCCATTGGTTTTCTCTTATTTTCTGTTCTGTTTTGTTTTTGTTTTCCACTGGTTATTTTCAAGGTAAGGCCCCACTTTATGCCAAGACCAGCCTGGACTGCGATCTTCCTACTTATGTTTCCTTGTGTCACTGGAAATGACAGGCCAGTACCACTGTGCCCAGCTATTGATTGAGATGGAATCTTATAAACTTCTTTATTATCCAGACTGATCTTTAATCACCATTCCTTAATCTCTACTTTCCAAGTAGCTAGAAATAAAGGCATGAGCCAGTGTACCCACTCAAAACTGCACCTCATCACATGGTCCCAAAGATACCACTGTGTAATGTCCTGTTTGTGACTTCTGACCTGTCTTTATGACATGTGCTTGCATTTCCTAGTTTCCACTTTAGTGACTTGCTCAGGAAGACCCAGCATTGACAGTAGATCTGTTTGTGTTCAGGACTTTTTTTTTTTTAATTTCGCCAGTTCTGGGTCTTGAACTCAAGGCCTAGGCACTGTCCTTGAGCTTCTTTTGCTGAAGGCTAGTGCCTACCACTTGAGCTATGGCTCCACTTCTGGCTCTTTTGGTAATTTATTGAAGATAAGAGTCTCATGGACTTTCTTGCTCAGGCTGTCTCTGAACTGCAATCCTCAGATCTCAGCCTCCTGAATAGGTAGAATTATAGACATGAGCCACTGGCATCTGATAATTAGACCTCAATTTCCTTTGACATCTATTAGTCACCTTTACATTCCTGTAAAAAAAAATCCTGAGAGAATCAACAGAAAGAGTTTATTTCAGGGCTCCGGGTTTAAAAGATTTCACTCTAATCATTTAGTCCATTGCTTTTGTGTTTTCTCTCTCTTCTAGAGGACATGCACGTTACCCCAGGCATAGGCTAAATCACTTGGTGATGACCCACAGGTCTCTTAGCCTTGGCTTGGCTTTCTTCTTTCTGTTCCTCTAACTAAAAATAGTCCCTTCTTCAAGTTCATGGATCCTTTCAGCTCAAATCTGCTGTTGAACAGAGTTTCAGACTTGTAAAACAGTGGATCCTGTAAGTCTTTTTCTGTTTGTCTTTGAATAGAGGACTGCCCTTCAGTGTCTTACTTCCACCATCATCATCTTCCATGATGCCACCAAAGGACATACTACTTTTAGGAATGTCATCTGCCTCCACATAAAGTATTTTATAAATATGTACCAAAAAAAGAATTTTTCTTTGTTTTGCAACTTCTCAAGGCTTTAGAATGTGAGTATGAGTTACATAACAAAGCCTTTGCTGGATCAAGCTACTGTGTCATACCTTGGGCAGGGTAATTTATAAAAAACAGGAATTTATTACTCTAATTCTGGAAACTGGAAGTCTAAGATCAAGGCAGATTCACTTTCTGGGGAGAGTTTGATCTCTGCCCAGATAGCACCAATTTGCTGCATATTTACAAAGTGGAAGGAAAGCAAGGCAACTCCTTTCAATATCTTTTCTAAGGGCATTAGTCCCACTTATGGAGATGGAGACTTTGGGACCTAATTATATATACCCCAATAACTTCTTCCAACATTGGGTATGAGATCCCAATATATTAATTATGGGAGATACTAACATTCCATCCACAGCAACACTGTTTAGGGAGGATCTCATGTGACTGTTTCTGACAGAATATTTTTCAGAAAGTACTGACAGAATAGGAAAAACACTTTGGAAAATTAAGAAGTTGACTTTAGTTAGATTCCCAAAATCCTAGATACTCAGGAGGCTGAGATCCGAGGTTTGTGGATTGAAGGCAACCTCAGCAGATAGATTCTCAAGACTCTAATCTCCAATTAAACAGCAAAATGAGGGCTGTGGCTCAAGTGGTAAAGCATCAGCCTTGAACAAAAAAGCCAAGAAAGAGCTCCTAGCTGGCATTTTACCACATGAGCCATAGCACCATTTCCAGCATTTTACTGGAGACAAGTGTCTCACAGACTCTCCTGCCCTTGCTGGCGTCAAACTGCGATCCTCAGATCTCAGTTTCCCAAAAAGCTTGGATTATAAGGGTGATCCTAGTTCATTGCTTTATTTTTATATTTTCTGACAATCAATCTATTTGGGCAATGTTCTCATTAGCTCAACTTCTCCCTATATTCTCCCTCCCACAACAGAACCTTTTCCTCTTTCCAGATAATCTTTTTAATCAGCTTTGGCTTTTTTGTTTGACAGGATTTAGACATCATGAATGGCTTAAAGAAACAGAGTTTCCTCAAAAATCCAAACAATTATATGCCATAATTGCAGAATACAGTTCACGGCTGCATCACTACCAGGTGATATTTTGCTGAATTATAGTTCCAACTCATTCCTGTGAAGTTTAGTATATGATCTCAGTTAGTAGTATTTTATCTTTGTCTGTGTTGAGAATATCTAAATAGAAATAACTTAGGGGCAGAAGTTATTTTAAAATGTGATCATTCAAAGTTCTATAAACATTCTCCATAGTCTCTGATCCCCAGAAGAAACTCCAGCAAAAGGAAACCAGCAAATGTATCTTTATACTGCCACTCTACTCAGTGTAATGCTCTTCTTCGCCCCAAAGCTAGTTAGATCTCACCCCTGAGACTGAAGCTACCACTTAATGTCCCCCTATGGCCCACCTAGCATTCCAGACTAAGCCTTGTCCATTTCATGCTAGGTCTCTGGAAGTTAGAGGCAGAGGGAGAAGGAACAGTGGCCAAGGTCACCATGCCTCCAAAGGAAGGAGGGACAAACAGATGGACTAGATTGCACACACGCATTGACTTTTCAACACTCAGTGGCTTCATTCTTGGATCTGATTGGCTGCATAATACTTCATGCCATTTTCCCAAGGGCCTCTGAAAATGTCTGCTTCTCTGAACATCCAGAAATTGCTTCATTCCAAAATCTCTTGCCACATGGAGTCCCTAAAGGGCGGAGGCTGCACAAATATGTTCCCTGCAGCATCCCAGGCCAGTAAGGAACATCCCCCCCTGGTTGATCCCTGGAATCACTCCAACTCCTAAAGACACCAATGGCCACATAGACTGGGAGCCTGTCAGCCTACAATATTATCTGTCCTAGGCCCTAACAAGAAAGGTAGTTCTCTTCTGACATCACATCCCAATCCACTTAAAGATTAGGAAGGTGAACCAGAGTGACTTGTGCAGCAGCCTGGGGATGGCTGCCCACCTACAACAGGTAGAAGCTGAAATCTAAACCCAGACTTGGCTGAGTTCACTCCCTACTATGTCCTGAGAACAACATCATATCGTCTCACACACAGCTTAGCCTCAGTGGCCATAGATGATCACAATGAAGAGTTTAAGCCCAAAGACTTCAAATTACTTGCTCCAGCATTTAATGGATTTACATCTAAAATCCTATATTAAGCAGCAAACTTAATTTATTCAGCCAGATGTATAGACTACAACCAGTATTCTCTTCTAATATTCACTTTGAAGTTACTTTAAAATGAGATATTTTCATGAGTTTTGCTGAGAGGAAAAAAGTTAATGGATTGCATCTCACTGAGTTAGGCAATGGTAGCTCACTCCTGCGATGCTTGCTACTCAGCAAATTGAGATCTGAGGATCAAGGAAGCCAGGCTAGGCAGACAAACAAGAGGCACACATCTCTCATTATCAAGCAAAAAGTTAGAAGTGGATGTGTGGCTTGCTCAAGTGGTACAGCCTTGAGCAAAAAGCTAAGGGAGAGTGAGTGCAAGGCCCTATGTACCAGCACAAAAAAATTAAAAAGACATTAAATTGCTCAGCAGGAGAAAAGATACAGGAGATTTTTCTCCTGCATTTCATCCTGTTTCCATTATAAAATTAGTACACATCAGACAACAGCTTCTGTAAAATACCCTGTACACTGTTCTGTTTGGGGCAGAGTAAGCTGATAGACGCTGACATTTTTTTTTTTTTTTTT